AGATAACTTAATTTCTTCTATTAATATGAAGTATTCTAGGAGGAAGCACTGAAAAAAGAATACGAAATAGCAGCGGACAATAAATAACAGCAACAAATAGGTTTATTACAAAAAAAAAAGAAAATTAATTTTTCCACTTTGTTTTACTAATATGTTTCTATTTTTTTTATATAACTGATTAGTCAAAGTTAACATATTACTTTATCTGAATAATAATAAATCGAGAAGCCAATTTCTGGTCATATGTACATTAGCTCTTTGTCTAAATCACAATCAAGAAGCAACAATATTGTAGATATATGATGGCTTTGTTTCTTAGTGCTACGGTTTATTTAGATCTCCTTTAAATACTTCTACAATAGAAGCGTCAAAGTAGAGGTTCTTTTATCAGCTTCAAAATGACCTAAAGTTTATTTTTCATTGAACGTGGATGACTTTCAAGCCCTACTCAACAACTGTCTTGCTCGAAAATCGAATTAACAAAGTTTGACTTCTCTAATACTAAGCTTATAGCAGAAATACTGATTGACTAATTATGCGACGTCGATTGTCATAAGTTGAGTTTTAATGGATGTCAAACGAGACATGATGTTGACCATGCATGGATAATAATTGATCAGATAGACACACATTTCATCGATAATTCACTAATCATCCGAATTTAAAGCAATGTTCAAACGAATCAATTCTTATTTAGCATTTTGAATCAATGCTATTGTTCTTATTGATGATATTACACGCATTACATCAACCTAGAAAAACTCGTATATATGATTAATATTGTTTAGAACATTTTATTTTAAGTAATTATTTTGTTATATCAAATCAGATAATGGTTACTAACTTAGTTGATAAAGGTGACTTATACGAATAAATATAAGGAGAACGCATAAATTAATATTAATCCTTATGAAGTCGTTTCTATAATTTTTTGCAGTGCCATCCCATTCTGCGAACAAACACTGATGCATGAAATTAAGATTACAGATAAAGGTTTCTTTTATTCACCTTACACTGTCTTTGTTCACTGAATTCTAATCTTAAAAATCACATCGCTACCGCTACCCTATGTTCGTTGTCGTGCACTTCACCGACTCTTCTTATTTTATATATTTCAATTCTAAGAGAATCCATTTTCCATAATCAATTGTATATTAGAAATCAAAACAAAAAAATATTTCTAGAGATTTTTATTAGTAATAAATCAACGGTAATTCTTTGAAGAAAATTGAACATTGATATATGTCTCTGTAACTAGGTGAGCTTTATTTAAACATTATTTTTAAAAGTTACACGATGAATATCTGCTAAAAATTGAAACTCCTCAAACGTTACATCTATTTTTGTTTTTAAGTTGATTGATGTATTTTTCTATTTTTTTTTTTGTTTTTAGAACTGCATGTTCTAATCTTTTAATGTCTTCTTAAATCAATTTAATCAATGTTCTCATTACATATTTAATAAAATTACTTTTGATCGCACTTACTTTTACCAGCAATGAATATTGGATTCAAAAGATCAATAAAATTTGGAGTCGATTGAAGTTTTTCTATTATTAATAGAAAGCAATATTTATGAACGAGAGAAAAATATCTATCAACGACTAATCATTTTATTTGTATTTATTACTATTTTCCCTTCGAAGTTTTTCTAATAACATTTTTCAAGTTAATTATCACACAAAATTAATAAATTCACCTAAAATCAAATTTTCTTATTAATCATGTCCGTTTTTTAACAAATTTCAATTTTTTTTTTATATATATATGATTTTATCGTATAGGAAATCTTGAGCTCACACTATCAATCATCGCCCATTTTAATTTCAATCGATTGTTAAGAAAGTACTTCATTTATTTTTATTGAAATTTGAATCATGATTCACCAAAGAAAATTCTATATTAGGAATACGTCAACTCACCATCTTGATTTCCAAGATAATAATGAGTTGTATGTTCATGATTGTTTGAATAGTTAGTAATGTGTAACATTGTACGGTTGTTGATAATTTTTGAATTTCAACATGTACTGAATACATAGACATTAATTTATGCTATGTAATGGTCACAAAAAGAAATCAAAAGTGTTGGCTTACGAAATATGGGTGTCTTTGAGTAACATCGTACTGAATATATGAATTTTATCAGAATTTATTGTAAAAAAAAAAATTACAATTATTTTATCGAAAATTGTTTTTTTCTGCGGATTTAAATTAGATTCGACAATTGAGATAACTAATTATAAACAAGATATACTTTTTCTTGAAAAAGAATACATTTATTTATTTCGAAAAATGATAATTTTTCAACACGAAGTCTTTTATATATAAGTCACATCAGTAGTGTTTATTTATTATTAGATATATTTTTCATTTTACCCGTCAATTTGCAATAATATTGAGTCATTTTCCGTGATGATTAAGGTAAAATATCTGATTGATTTCAAATAGACATGCTCGTAAACAGCTGTAAGTCGTCATCATATATTCGTATATTATTTAGCTCACAATTATGTTCGTATTTTTTTTTGCGTATGATACGAAGTTTATACATATTTTTCATTCTGATATATAAATAGTATCAAGAAAAATAAATAACTATACAATCATAGTTTTTATTCAATTTCTTATACAAATATTTCAAGTAGAAATAATTTTCTTATCCTATTGATAAAACATATTTACAATGATAAAACAAAATTGTTAATGTTTGAAATTTATTGATTATTATTTTAGATTATTTGATTCTTAATAGTTATTATTATGACATTATATAATTAAATATACTTCAATATACGAAAAAAAATATATTCTCTATGAATACAAATAAAGAAAAATTTAATTTATGTATATTTTTACAATTCATTCTTGAATTATTTATTACTATCTGTTTAAGTAATAATTAAAAATTAATAGAATAAAATCTAGATTTTAATTCTTTAGTAATAAATTTAATATAAGTACTTATCTATTCGAAAATGTCAGATTAATCAAATTCATGAATTTTAATGATTGATTTGTAACGATCCAAAACTTTTCAGGACATGAATGCGAACAATTATTGTTCAATTTTTATTTTTTATTTAATCTATATTGTGATAGTTTAATAAAAGAAAAAAAAACATATGAATTCGTTTATTATTTTACACACATGACAAGTCTTTAAAACCTACGATAAAACCTTTCTATGTGAGCATCTTCTTATGCAGAACAGTTTATAGTCTGCTAAAGTAAATTTTACTAAGAATGAATCTACCAAATATGAACACATTTTTATTGTGAATATCAGGTTCTTATTTCTGGTCCACTAAGCAATAACAATATGCGCTCGATCATTTGTAATTAGAACGCAAGAAAAAAATGATGTTATATTTATTGCGTTACGATAAACAATCATAGGATAGACAGGAAAAGATAGTAGACCACTTGTGAATATTTAAAATAAAAAAAAAACCATATTAGACAACAATAATCGAGTAACGCCTCGTTGTTTTTTTTTTTTCTACTGACAGCTAGTAATATCAAATCATATCAACGCACATTGATTTATCGATGATTAAAAAAAACTGAATTAATTAATTGCTAACAAAAAAAAAATAACCTTGTGAAGTCAAAAAATCGATTGTGACTGAAGACTATCTCTCAATAAGAATCACTTTTGATCGATCTTGAAAGTGTCTATACATTAGAGAAAATTTACTGTATATGCATGTCGAAAAAAACCAAAAGGCTGACCTTGGAAGTCTTTTTTTTCTTAAATTTCATCATATTGTCATGATCGAAATCTATCTGAATTCTTTTTTTTTTTTGAAAAATCACCAATATAGAATTTTATTTAATGGTCACATTGCAATATTAATGATTGTTTTGACACTGATAATAAATTGGATGATTAATTTATCGATACGTATGTAAATATACTTCCGAAAAATACAAAGATATAAAATGTGATATGACACAAACCAATCATCGCTGCAAATAGTAATATAATTTTCAAGGAGTTTTTAAAAAAGAAAAAAATCTTCAATCAATAAATTAAACTAAGAAATAATGTGCTTATTATAGAGATTAATTTATTTTTTAAAACAACAAAAAAAAAAAATACTACATTCAAAGTAATTACTGCTACAATGAAAAGGATGCTTTTTCTTCCTTTGTCATCCTAATAAATAGGTACGCTTTGTTACAGATTTCTTTTTCGATCGAAGTTTTCTTTTTTTTTATAATTACACCAATCATCCAATGAATTTATAATTTGAATAGATTTGTTTACATGTTAATTCAAGTTGTTCTTTATATAATTGAAGATTTTCAACTTGTGATAATAGATGATTTTGTTTAAATTCTAATTCACGAACTTGTTTTTCTAAATTTTCTCTGATAAGATTATGTTTTGATTTCGATACTCGTGTTGTTTGACGTTTTTTCTTACGTCGTAATACACGATTAAAAACTTTTTCATTTTCAAGTTTTGTATCTTCTGCATTAGACGAAGACTTTATAATTGGTTCAGCTAATTCATATTCATTTATGCATACAGACTCATTTGTCATTGTTAAAGATGATTGTATCGGATATAGATAATTTTGACAAATATTTAAATGATTGTCATTATTATGGGAATTCAATGAATTATCATTAATAACATCAGGTATACAGGATATTGTATCATTGCCACTAGGATCTCTTGCTGGTAATAAGTGTTCGTTTTGCATATAGACTGTTACTATTTAATATCAAAATAGAGACTGATAAAGGAAATTATTCAAATACGTCAATGATTGCTTGCTATATAATAGTAAACAAAATAAGGTGATTAATAAAAAAAAAACCAACAAATCACAAGACAAAAGCTATCTCTTTAAAAAAAATGTAATACAAATGAAGGAAAAAATAACCTTTTATCCTGATCGTTAACGTATTCATTCAACTGAAAAAATGTACTGAGTAGACACTATGTATGCTTTAACACATTTAAAATCATTGAGATGCATATAAAAAAAAACCGAATCATCATTGACTCATATATTGGTTGATTATATTCATAGCAGGGTGGCCTAGTTTTCTTTTTCCTTTCTTTATTCTGTCATAGATTTTAGATGCACATTATTTCATGTAATATAAAGAAAGAAAAAGTGATTCTATAGTATAAAGTACATTTTTTTTTCTTTATTAGTTTTATATACAACTAATCATACTTGTTATTGATATATGTAGTGATATGAAAATATTTGCTCTAATTTAACAAGCAAGCATCAAGATGTTTTTTTTTACCTCTATGTAATATGAAGTTAATTGATAAAGATGATTTGCATCAAAATATATTGAACTTTTTAGTTGATTATTCTCGTTTATTTTGTATTAATAGAATAAAATATGGGATAATAATGTTGTAATAGAAGAGTATGGTATTTCGAAGAAAAAAAAAACTATTTTCTTTTGTTAATTAATTATGTACTATAAAGACATAGAAATGAATCAGTTTTCAAGGACAACAATCACAAATTGAAAGATATAGTTATTAGATGAATTTATATAATGACTATTTTTACAAAAAAAAAATACTTGGATCAGATCGGTCGATTGAAGTTCTTCAAATAACCGATGACAAACTGATCTGTTTAATATCAACTAATTCTTTCGAAAAAAAAAACAGTTTGTTACTCCGATTCCGCGAAGACCGACAATGTGAAATTCATATAATTCTTCGAATTTCTAATTGTAATAAATTCTATTATTGTTTGCCATGTTTCACATACGTTAACATCATGACCCAACGAAGATAATCACTCACAGTATCTAATATTTAATAACATCTATACTTTATTTTGACTGGCTTTTTTTTCCGAGAATTTAAATATTTGATGTTTTCTTATTTGAAATTATTTATTTAACATAGTTGAAAGGCATGTTTATTCATGAAAGTATACTATTTCGTCAACAAGTACAGTTGTATTATATTTGTAACTGATATAATCTTGACAATAGGATAGAAGTTTTTGACAGTAAATTAAAAATAGTTTAGATTGAATTTAAATATTAATGAATAGTTAAATTTTTGTCAGTAGGCATATTACCGAACTCAAGTTTTTTTGAGTGTGCTGTTACTAATAACTGGGTTTTTCATATCATTTTAATTGCTTGCATTATTTTTTTGTGGTAATTCTTTTAACATACGATCATTATCAACTGGGATAATTTATTTCATAAGATCTCATATAAAATTCTATTAAATTATTTAAATAGATTAATATGAATAAGTATTGAATATACATTTTCGATCTTGTTCATTGAAAATTATTCATTATATACAATGTAATGTTTGTACGCAGGATCATGAAAATCATTAGCATCTCTTCGAATAGTTTCAAAATTTCTCCGACATGCACCGTCTGAAATTCAAAACGATAACGTGAATATGTTATGCATCATTTTTCTTAGTATTAACTGAATATTTAGGATATTTTTCTTTGTTACCTAATTTAAACATTGTTTTTTTTTCATTACCTCAATATCAAATAATTTTTCACAATTCTTCTTTGAACTCTAAGCATGTTCGATAAAAAATTTTTTTCATGTCTTTTTAACATATCAATAGATGCTATCAACTCAAATTGGAAGTTGTTCATAAGTATATTTTATACATTTCTATATCAAATCTTAACAGATCTTTTACTTTAGCTTGAATTTATAGAAGAAGAAAAAATCCTTTGATGTTATGTTTGATTTTGAGTTTTTCAACGATATTTGATCTGATTGTTACTTTTAAAATACGATCTGTATATGATGAATGTTTCAAACGTATGTATCATCCTTCTCATATTTTAAACTCAGTTAAGTTAAAAGATTTTTAATTTTTTAAATCGTATACATTATTATCTAAAGATAAAGCGTATACTTTTATTCTCGTATGTATAAAATATTCACATGTGAAAATCTTCTTTTTTTTTTTATGTTGCATTTCAAGATTTTATTCTAACGAAAAAAATTCTGTTCAAAAATATTTTCTTCTTACACATGTCTTTGTTGATGTCTTATAGGTATTATCATATTGTTGGAAATTATTATATATCAATCTATTTACAACATTTAATTACAATTCAATAAGATATCATACATAACTTTATAACTTATATTATATGTTTAGTTTCGATTTTCGAGTAATTGAAATACCATTATTTTTTACTTTTATGAATAATATTTGAATTTTTTTAAATTTGATGAATAAATTATATCTATCATATTAAAGACAGATTTTTGTTTGAGCTAAGTTTATATATTCTATAAGTTTCCATCTAAGACATTTAAATCATTATCGGTCGATGAAGTTCATATTTTATTCGTTTGTACTTGAAAACAGGATCTTTTTTTATGAATAAATATTTGTTTTTAATTAAACATACTAATGAAGAAAAAAAAAGTATCAAAAAAATACTAAGATGAATAAGTAATCGAAAAAAAAATCCCATAGTATATATTTGTATGATGTACGTTCAGAACGTAAATAAAAAGAATAATATATCATAATATCAAGTCGTACGGGTAAATCAAACATTATATGTTTATAAATAATATGTTTTTTGTTTTGTTTTTTCTCAGCGAAGTTCAAGCATCTTATTCAGTTTTTTTTTAGCAACTTTCAAAAAAAAACCCTAGATACTTCCGCAAATGCTAAAGACCTTGGAACATTTCTGCCTAAATATAAACTAATACAATAATATATAATTGATCTTGATTCTAATATATTATTATGACTTTATACCTAAAAATAAAAAGTCAAGTCTGTCGACAAGAAATCATCGAAGAATCAAAATAGAGATCGATCAGTAGAAATAATATATCATTTATCCTTGAATAAGTTATATGATAAACATTAGACGTCATTTTTCATGTAATTCCATAATATATAAAATAAAGAAAAACAAGAGAATCGAAAAAAAAAACATGTGTAGTTATATATAAGAAGTACATAGTTTTTTTTTTGTTGTTCGTACTGAAATGCCGTTAAAACTAATTGACACGTGATCAAAGGTTGATAAGTACAAAGATCTATTTATACAATTTGTTCTCTTCTCTCTCTCTGTCTTCATATAAAGACATTATCGAGTTTATGAATCTTATATTGTGAAAAAACACAGAAAAAAAAGGTTTCAGTCGTATACAATACTTTGCATAATACTTAATGATCTATTGGGAATAGATTAAATGATTGCATTAATAATTAGTTTAATATTTTTTGGTCTTATTTCCTTCATTTTATTGTATACTGGATGGTTAAATAGTGTTATTAATTATTTGATTTGTGTAGTATTTGATTACCATAAAAGGGTTCGTCGTGATAGACGTCCTTCACGTATATTTCTTATTCGGCATGGTGAATCACAAGCAAATATTGATCCAAGTAGATATTTAATTAAGTTTGTTTTTTACAAATTCTTTTTTTCTTGTTTTTTTTTTTTAATAGCATTATGTTCACGTGTACCTGATAGTCGAGTTGAATTAACAGAACAAGGTTTTCAACAAGCACTTATTGCTGGTGAAAAACTTCATTCATTAATTGGTAATGAATCTATATATGTTTATATGAGTCCATATCGACGTTCAAAACAAACATGGATAAATATTCGAAAATCATTTTCATCATCACAAATATTAACTGAGCGTGAAGATCCTCGTATACGTGAACAAGAATTTGGTAATATAGCTGATTTACAAAGACGTCCACAAGAATTAGAAGAACAAAAACAATTTGGAAATTTTTTTTATCGTTTTTCATGTGGTGAAAGTGGTGCTGATGTATATGATCGTATATCACTTTTTCTTGATACTTTATTTCGTGAAATGGATGATGGACATCATGATCCAACACAAAATATTGTTATTGTTTCACATGGATTATTAATGCGTTTATTTCTTATGCGTTATTTTCGTTGGAATGTTGATGAATTAGATAACTTTAAACAATTTAATAATTGTGAAATATGTCAATTAACAAAAATCAATGGTGTTTATACACTTGATGGACATACAAAACCGCCAACGAAATCATCATAGAAGAAAAAAATTGACTTTTGGTTTTTTTTTTTTTTTGTTTCTTTTTGTATAAACTAAGATTAAGATATTTATGTGAACTGTAGAAATAAAAATATTTTCAAACATTAAGAATAAGATTGTCTAAGGATACAATAAATATCTGAAGTGTTGGACTTTTGTAAGAAAAAAAATTCTTAATGCCAAATTTATTTCGGATTTATTGCATTCAGAGGTCCTCATATGAGAGGAATTCAAGTGAACTAGTCCTCCGTCGTTTTTCATGTCACGCTAACAAAAATTTCGAGCTATTGTTGAAAAACCTCACTAATAATATGGGTGTGAACATTAAACAAGAAGAGAACGGAATAAGATTCCCATCCACATCTATAACTATATACTTTCGTTGATGATTTCATTCGAGAAAAATTAGATATTATGTGCGTAGAAAGTTGTTTCAGAAGTAAATGTGTTGTTTTGATCTATTAACTGGAGTTGCCTAAGTTTCCTGCACATAGGAAAGTGCACCTGATCAATCTGATCCATTAGAATAAATGCACAGAAGGAAGAGAAGACAAACAGGCATACTTACACACTCACCCATATTCAATTTAACATCAACACTTGATTTTTTTCAGCACTTTTACTGATAATTCAATCGAATTAAACGACACTTTTCACTTGGTTAACATGTAAACGAACATGAAATTCTCGTTACTATTTTTTTTTATTGAAGCACAATTCAATCTTGAGTACATCTCAATATTTAGCTAAACGCACAACTAAAAAAAAGTATTCGGAAAGAAAAGAATTAGTTCTTGGCAGGTACTCAGTATAGTAAATTCTATTGGGAATTATTTCATTTTTGATATATTCTAATAAATAATTTTGTCTAGGACATGAATCAGCGAAACATATTGATGATAGTAGTAGAAAATAAATTGTGTATATCTCATCATGTACAAAATTATTGATTTTGTATTAATCCATATTCATCTGTTAATAAGTATTTTGCCTGAAAATAACAAAAATAAGAAAATTTCTATGAAAGACATGAAAATTTAACATTCTACAATTTCATTCATGTAGAGAACCAATCACAAGATATGACGTGTAAGTTTATTTGAAGAGATTGAAAAATATGAAAAATTACGGGAGAGTCTATTGTATTGAGGTATGTTCAGATTTCCAAAAAAGGAAATTACCCATATTTCTGAAATTTCCATCACCTCGATTACTATATAGCAGTGCAAATCAAAAGTTTTTAGACATATTGGAAATTTCAGCAATTTTAAAAATTTCTGTAAGTACGTCATTGCGGAAATTACATCATTTTAGGAAGTAACGTGCAATTCCGAACACAAATACTTGAAATCTCCGAAACTTTTGAAATTTCGTTTTTCGGAAGTCTGAACACTGCTGATTGTATTATAACGTTTTGAAGGTATACACCATGCATAGAATATTTATACAGAAAAATTAAATAAAAAATTCATCAATAGATGATTCATATGAATATTTGATTGTTTTCTTCTGCCTATGAGAAAATGCTTTCTATATTACGTCGATTGTTCTTAATAATTCAGTGAGCAATCGATGTGTTGATTAAAAATATGCGTTTTAAAATAAACAGCTTCGCTCATACTCTTCTCAACGAGACTTATATTAATGTATAAAGAATGACGGATGACAAGAATAAGCAAATCATTCGTTACTACAAAACACTGTTTTTTCATATTTGTTAAAAAACTTTAAAGATAATTAAAGCATTAAACAATGTACACAAGAAAATTTTAGTTTCAATACGACTTTTGTCTTTAAACAAATCATTATTTATTTTCCACTATCAACAGAACATGACATGTTCTATCACTTTTTATCATGTTTATTTTAAATAGCTCTCTTTTCAAAAGCTATTTACAATCTAGAGGAGTTCTCCTATTAGAACTACAAGTTACATTTGAATGATCATCAGTTTTATTACAAACTTGCGAAAAAATACATCGTTCAATGTGATATTAAAACAGTACTGATTTCCCGACAATAAATCTATAAGCTGTGATAACTGATTTTGTTCTTATTCGATTGCTATGTATAATTTCTATCATGCCTTGCTTATGAATCCTTAAGAACTTAACCTTCCCATAGTATGCGAAGACGCACAATGATAAATGTTCTTCAGTTCTAGTCATAAACGACTTTCTTTCCACCGTCATTTAAAGATACATCATGAATTAAATGAAATACAGAAAGAAATCATGAAATTTGGTTTTTTTTCCTTATAGGTATTATATAATATTCTAATGAAACATTTAAATAGGTTTCAGTTCCGATTGAAGCTTAACGGAGTTATTGAATGTCTAATATTTCTATTTACAATAAGTCCCCGCGAAATTTCAGCTTTTTTTGGAAAAATTATGTTTTTCAATCTTTTCTTAAAACTATCGCCATTATAATTTATATGAAGAATTTCATTATTTGCAGACTAAGTATCTCTGAACTGTGAATCTTTTAAAAATAAATGCTTTTTGAAGCGTCGTGTATTAGACAAAAGTATTTTAAAAAGTTTGCATCTAAGAGACTTGAATTATACAAATGCTGAAGCTTTCCACACGAGCTCCTGTGTATAGACATCTTCGAATGGATATAGTTTAAGGTAAAAATTCAAAAGACATAATTTTTCCGAAATCCTGGTGTCCATTAGAGACTTCTAGCAGCTGAACACATCAATAATTTCGTAGGCTTGACAAATTGCAACACAAACTCAAATTCATTTAAGACTTCCGCTAAAATACTTTTGTAATACATATAGGCAAAGAATAATTGGAGCTCTGAAATTTTTCTTGTAATTTGAAGACAAAAGTAATAATACAGCAAAAAGAGCGAAAAACGAAGTTGTCTAAGATCAATAATAGAAGCTTTTTGAATTCAGAATCCATAATTATTTAAGTCATGCAGAGATTCAATTTATTTAATGAGAAAAAAACTGAAGTTTACTTTGACAACGGTGAATATTTTTTATGCAAGATGTAGAGAAAAAAAAGCAACAGTAGTGAATAAAGAATGAAAAAAAAAGTCATAAATTTTGTCATTACAGTATGATTTTTATCCTAGTTAAATATTTTTCTCTCTCTCTGCTTCGATCAACATACGTCATGATGTGTCTGACTTAAGATGTCCTTTTTTTTTTCATATGTATTACGTTTTGTTTTCATTAGAAAAAAAAAAGATAGACTACATTTTTCTCTTTTCATTTTTATGTTCTCTCAAAGAGAATTTCATCTCTATATATATAAACAACGATCGCTGGTTAATTTACCTTTAGTTTGCTTACTTATTTTGTGTCTTGATCTGCAAGAAGAATTTTGTTAACAAAAAAAGAGTTGAAACGATCAAACAAAAGAAAATATTATGAGTTTTAAAGGACGATTTCCTCGATGGGTT